TGCCCCCTCCCCCTCCTGCTCCAGCCTCCCTCGGCCAGCTGCTCCTACGTGAGATGTGCAGTCACATGCTCTCCCCCTGAGCTGTACCCCGCGCCCCTGTGTGAGATGTTCCCAGCCCAGGGAAAGGGGCCTGAAGCCGAAATGAGGCTTTCGCAATGGATTCAGAGACGCCAGGGTATTAAACTGCAGGCGCTTCCCAGGATGGGCTGCGTTTGTGTCTGTAGGAGCCGGAGCGGGAGAAGGCAGACGTGTCTCCCAGCTCCTTCCCTCGGTCCATGGTCCGTCCGTCCGTCTGTGCTGTGAGGGTGGATGGTTTATTAGGGGGTGCGGTCACCGTGGCGAGTGCGCGGTTTAAAGTGAGCAGCCGAGATGGGTGGCAGCACAGCCGGGCAGGGAGACGCAGAGGAGGCAGGACGGAACCAGCACCCTCTGGGCCGAGGGGTGCACTGGGTTCCAAACAGCCCAGCCTCCAGGGCCCTTTGCTGATGACCCGGGATGAGACAGCACCTCCCACAGGCCCAGCTCCGAGCTGCGGGCCCCTCACCTGAGCCGTCCCTCCCTCCCTGTGACTGTGGGGTGTTCTCGCCATGTTTGGGGGACGGACATGACCTCAGACATGGCTGTCATTGCCACTTGTCCTTAGCATCCTTCCCGCCAGCCTTGCCCTCGGGCCGGCTCCTCCCCACCCCCACCCGCCAGCCCCCATGCCCTGCAGCCCAAGCAGACCCTCCCCCGGGGCGGCCGCTGGCTGTCCCCTGGCACCCAGACCCCATGCTGCGAGGCCCCCCTCTCTGGGAGCGTTTCCTTCCACTCTTGGAGCTCCCCGCCCATCTCTCCCCGCCCCCTGCCCCCCTCCGCCCTTGGCCTGAGGTGGCCAGAGGCATTCTGGGCTTGCGACCAAATAAATCGGCTCCGGCTCCGGCTTCTCCCTGCTGAGCAGATGCGTGCGCTCTCCCAGCCGAGTGCTGAGCCCTGAGAACTAACCGCTGGGAGAGGCCCCCCCGCCCCCGGCCCCAGAGTCAGAGGAGGAGGGTCCCCCGCAGGCTCCCCTCTGTCCCGGGGTCTCTGAGCCCCTTTCCCAGGTGGGGCTGCGCCAGCTCCCGAGTGGGGATGCGGCCGGGAGGGAAGGACGGGGCCTGCAAGCGCTTTAATAGGAAGCAGCTGGAGGGCAAACCAGTTCAGCTCAGAGCAAAGCGTTTCCACATGTGCTCAGCGCCCCACGTGTGTGTGGAGTTTACATCCGCGTCCAAGGGCAGGAGAGAGAGAGAGAGAGAGAGAGAGAAAGAGAGAGAGAGGGAGAGAGAGGGGGGGGGAGATAAAAGAGAGGCATTTGCTTTAGGCTGGAGGCCGGGCAGGAATATGGGGACGTACTAAGGGGATAAGGAGGAGCCACCGTGGCTGAGCGTCGACCTCTGACCCAGGAGGTCACCGTGCGATTCCGGTCAGATCCCAGGCCCGGGTGGCGGGCTCCATTCCCGGCGGGGGGCGTGCAGGAGGCAGCCCATCAATGACTGTCTCAACATGGATGCTCTTATCTCTCCCTCCCCCTTCCTCTCTGAAATCAATAAGAAGAAATTATTTTAAAAAGAGAAGAGGGGAAAGTGTGACAACCGTGTTGATCGGCAGACACACAGGAGGAAGGCCCCCCGCCCCCCACACCCCCACTCTGATGACGGCAGGGTCAGGTCGGTGTGTCTGCCACACACACCATTCCTACCCAGAGAAGCCCTGAGGTCTGGCCTGGAGGTGCCCTCCTCTGCCCCTCCCCCTCTGCTTAGCCACCCCTCCCCCTGCCTCCCACCCCCAGGCCCCTCTGGGCACAGGCACCCCTCACTGTCTGTTACCCGTCTCCTCTCACTCTGTTGTTGCTGACTTAGCTATTTGCTGCCTCAAGCTCATCTCCCCGTTCAAGCCAGGGACACACCTGTCGGGGGGTAGG